TTAGCCAGCGCCCCCATTTTTTCACATCGCCTCCTGTCTCCTGGAGACTGCCGTCCGATTTCTTCCACTCTACCTCCGGAGTGGGACTACGGAACAGATAGATCATCCCGTAAGCAAATCAAGGCAAGACTAAAGAGAACACACACACAGGTGACATAAACACTCACAGGCCTTTGGGGATACACTCGAGGGTGACAGTTTGACCTCTGAGGGCGTGCACCATTGAGTGAGTCCCACTGGGACTGAGAAAAAGTGGCTTTCTGCTACGGTTGACATCATTACCTGAGCGAGAGAAGGAGTAGGAGTGTAAAATAACCTGAACAAATAGTTAGTGCCTGCAAAGCTTAAAAATGCAACTTTAGAAATATACTTATAGAAATGTGCTTGTGATCAGTAACGTGTAACTCACTGGGCTGGACGGTGAGCGCGATAGCAGCCTCCGGGAGAATGGTTCGGGCTGCCACGTACTGAGCATTGCAGATATAATCTTGTTTGCTATCACTCTTCAGGAGATTTGCAAAGAAGAGGTTTCCATCCAGGCCGACCAAAACTCTCTCGTTCTGCTCGATATGAACCATGCCTAAGACACGGAAAGAGAGCCACAGGAGGACAGGATTCTTACCAGACATACGTACCATAGCGATAATGTGGTATACTTAGTAAACATATATATAAATATATACATATTTATCTATCTATCTATCTATTTAATCAGCTCATATGAAAGCCTGCTATTACATTTTCCAGAATTTAGCTCAGAATTAGCTCAGTAGGCTATGTTGTTGCTATTTAGCTTGACTATTATGCTATAGCTACATATGTTTATGTTATATTTAAGCTATTTTGATGTCTTTATTTTTTGTTCCATAATCACTCAGGTTTAATAGGTTAGCATACGGAGAGAGGACCCAGGGACAGAGGATGGAAGACTCACTGATGTCCATCCAGTGGATGTTTGGCGGCGTGGAGCTCTCTGGGGGGTTACAGGTCAGAACAATGCTCTCGCCTTCAAACGCTCTCTTGTGTATCTTTTGTTGCTTCAGAAGAACAGGCTGAGCTGAAACAGGAGGGGAACAATGTCAACTGATTACGGTAGGTACAAGGAGGACACCTGTCCTCCACCCCTCAACCCTGCCTCGTAACTTGTGTTTTCTTTGTGTTTTTTGTGTGTATTATCAGGCACTAGGGATCGTTTTTTTTCTTTTTGGGGTCGTGAACTGTTCCCTGTCTGCTCTGTTTTGGCTGTAAGTATTTGACTCCATCAGCTGAAATACTGATTTCCCAGAATCCCTTCCTCTTTCTCCTCTTATTAAACTTTAAATGTAATTACTAAAACATCTCCACTGCATCTTCAGGATGTGGTTGTTACAGTAACGGGAGCAAATCGAAGAAACTGGTCGACCTCAACTGACCTCACTGTGTGTGTGTGACTGAGAGAGAGAGAGAGAGAGTGGGAGGGGGGGAGAGAGAGAGAGAGAGACAGAAAGAGAGTGGGAGGGAGGAAGGGAAAAACAGAAAGTGTACTTCCTGATTATCAGGCAGCCCATGACTCAGGATATTATCTCATGTCATGTTTTTATTTGCATGATTCGGCCACTTCCTCACATATATACACCTGCTCTTACTCCTGTCATGCAAATCGAGTTACTCTGAAAACCTTGTGTTTGTGACTTTACCTTCACAGCGTGATATAGCTATTTCTAGCGATAAGCATCGCCATCTTTCTTCAAGTTGAACCTCAACTCTACCACATTCAGAGCCAAAGCTCTAGACCAGGACTGCACTATCGGTATTTACCAGTCGTGCTGTTAGATCACAAAAAACTAAAATAAATATGGATGTCTGATATCAACTTTGTGCCAGTTAAATAAATGAGCTGCAATGCTGCCATCTAGTGACTTTCACTTTCATTTACAGCCGTTTGTCCCCAAAGGGCACATCATTTGACAAAACCCAGTTGTGTTATGGGGTTCATTATTGGAGGAAAAACCAATAACGATTCTTACAGATACTACACAATTATGCTAATATGCTAATTTTATGACTTTCACTTTCATTTACAGCCGTTTATCCCCTGAGCTGTTCTTAATTATTCAATTACAAAAGACTCACGCTCCACGATGACTCGTACGACGTCTGTCATGGCTGTTCCCAGGATGTTGGAGGCATAGCAGCGATATACTCCTTCGTAAAAGTCCAGCACGCTTTCCTTTTCAGCTTTAAAAGTCCCTGATCCTTGAAGCTCCTCGCCAAACTCTGCGCCATCCTTCACCCACCGGAAACTGACGAGAAGTGAGTATAAATTGTCACTGATCAGAATCACCTATTCTTTCATTGTCAATGTACACAAACACATAAAAGTGTCATTAAAAATCCCACATTTCCTGCACACACAGATTAGCTCAGTGAACTGGAGATGGAGGCCAACCGTACGTACATCGGTGTTGGGTTTCCTGTAGCCTCACAGGGCAGAATCAGGTCTTCCGCAGAAAACGCCGTGAACGACGATGGCATTTCTGTGAGAACCGGAGGCTGTGACACTGAAAACACACACAAAGCACACGTATGTTTCTACACTGCTTTGGTGAGTTTTTATTTCCAACTTTGTCCTTATTTAAATGGAGCTCTTATTTTTTAGCTTTTAAATTAGGTTTTATATATATATGTATATATGTATATATATATATACACACACTATTTTCAGATACTATATGTCGCTCTGGAGTATAAGTCGCACCAGCCAAAAAATGCAAAATGAAGAAGAAAAATAATTCACCCAGCAAAAGCCCGTGTATATACACTCCCAGTCAAAACTTTGGAAACACCTTCAATTTTTGTTTCTTATTTTTACTTCTTTCTGGATTGTAGCTACATACCTAAGAGATAAAATATATGAAGCAAGATATGTGGAACTGCAAAAAAAGTATATATATACACAGTATATATATCGCAAGGGTTAAGTTCCAAGACTGCCCCTGGGATGACTGCATGTATATATACTGCATGTGTATACAGTATATATATGATGGCCTAAAGTGTTTCTAAACCTGACGATGGTTGAGTGGAGGTGAGTTGTCTCTATCATCATCTTTTTCGCCTTTTATCTCTTTCAGGAAATTCCCTAAATTATTCATAGCAGATGTGAAGATAATGAAGATGCTCCGGGCCTGTGCATCAGACAACACTGAACGATGGACTTGAACCACATCCTGCTCTAAGTGTTCGACGGAGAGTTGACTCTGAAGGTGAGAAATGACACTGTGAGAGGGTTTAATGTGGAAAATCACAACCCTAAAAACATCCATTAAAGCTACGGGGTTTTACGGTCAAAAAACAGTGTTACCAAACATTAAAGTTCAAATCTTGAGGACGCTTGGTTTTAGTCGTGAAGGTTTAATGGAAATACTCCCAAACAAACATTAACGTAAACAACATGTTTCATAATTGATGGAACAACAAGAAAAAGAGTGACTTACTGTTGTGAATTTTATCTTTTTGTCCACAGGGAGGCAGTGAAAGTAGAGCAGAGAGTCAGTTTTATACACAAACACATCAGTGTGTCAGTGATGATTTCAAAGGTTTATATATGTCCACAAATACTTTATTTTCAGTGTTTCCCGTAAGTCAAATATAATTATCAAACATATACAGCAGTTTATAATACTCGGTGATATGAAAGCATAAAATGACCAAATGACTCTGGACGCTGGATGTATTTGGTCCGTGGGTTTTTATGCTCTCCGTTTTCACACACAGACCCTGTGGCTCCTGGATCATCTTACATCTTACAGTTTACAACTCTGTTTTTCTCCTGCTCCTCTGTTCTGATATTGAGTGATATTCTTCATCACTCATCTCATTTACAACCCAATTTCCCTCTCTCTCTGTCCCCCTCTCTCCCCCCTTATCTTTCTCTGTCTCTCCATTTAAGCCACACCCAAGCGGGAAGGTCATGTGGCTGAAGGTCAAGCTGACTCCTGGCTCCTCCTTCTCATCTGTCTCTTCCCTGTCTGTCTGTTTCTTCACCTCTTACCGGGATGCTGTAGTAACTATGTTCGACCTATGATCTTAGCCCGCAGTGCGAGAGGTCACAGGTCGCTGTCATTCCGTTGTGTGTGTGATTGAGGGCGTGTTTGTTTTTGTGCTTTATTGCAGTTGTTAATGTGTCCTATTGGAAACAAAAACTGACTAAACACAGATAACGTAGGACGCTGAGAGGAACGGTTCCTTATCACGTACGCAGCTGCGTACTCCCTCAATAATGCAGCTAGCAATTAGTTAATGCGGGAATAAGAGATAAAGCTTTTTAAGCTTAAATTTGAATATGAACGGCTCGTATGGCAATACTGAGTTAGTACAAGATCTAAAAAGAAACAAAATATGAATAATAAGGATGATAACAATACTTCTCATATATTATTATTAGGATTATTGTTGTTGTGATTATTATTATTATTGTTGTTATTATTGTTGTTGGTGGGATGATGATGGGATTTTAACCTTTTTCTCTCAGTATGTGTTAATGACATCATGTGTTGGCTATGTATAGATGATAGACGGTGGAATTACAGGATATACAGCTTGTTTCTGGGCATGCATTAAAATGTATTATAAAAATACACTGGGCCACTCTGAGGTGGTTTGTGGGCTGCTACTTACAGCCTTCTGGAATCTGAATGGCTCCCTGAGCAAACGGAGGTGGGGAGGAGAGGAGGAAGAAAGGGAGGAGAAGGAGCAGGGCGGGGCAACATCGTCCCCTATAGCCCGTCCGCCGATGCTGTGACGCGCACATCTCTCAATGTCCCATCAAAAGTGCTGCAGCGCACCCACACACTCATCAACACACAACAACACACATACACACACACAGTAGGGGTCGCTGTCTCAGCCTGGACGCAGAGTTAAACCGAGGCTCTGGATGAAGGTCCAGGTCCGGGGTCCGTGATTTTACTGCCTACGGGAGGGGAGAAGAAGAGAGGGAGAGATGAGAGGAGGAATGGGGGGAGAAGGCATAAATAAATTAATAATAATAATAATAATAACAACAACAACAACAATAATAATAATAATAATAATAATAATAATACAAGTCTCCGGTCAAAGATCAAGCCATGATGTTTTTTTTTTTACATTTTTCTATTATGACAACTTTGAGCGGTCCCTAGCAGCGGACAGTGAGGGCTTGATAAAAAAGCACACTTAACAAAACCCTCATCTGTTCCTCAAAGTGTTTTTGTCACAGAGAAAAGGATTAGGTCATCAGATTAAAAGGAGATCAAATCAGAGATGCAGGAAACATATTTTTTTCCTAATGACATTACAAAAAGTGTGTGTGTGCGTTTGTGTGTGACTTTGTGTGTGTGTGTGTCTTTCTGCCACCTCAGCTGTATTTCCATTCATCCAAACATCTTCTCTTTTGTTCCTGCCTGGTGACAGGACATTGACCCGTGACAATGATGGGTGGTGTGTGTGTGTGTGTGTGCGTGTGTGTGTGTGTGTGTGTAGTTAAAACCATCCACAGATGGAACAGTCTTTTTCCCTCTTTTGTTCTCAGACATCACCGTCTGTGCATGCACAGAAGCCAAAACCTCACAACGCCGGGTTTGTTCATTTCCCCTAAAATAATAAGAAAATCAGTGCCTGTGTAATAGATTTGAAAGCAAATTTTTAAAATTTTTAAAATCTAGTATTTTTTAAAAATAATATTTTTCAGTGAAAGGGTGTCTTTTTTAACACTATTTTTTGGTCAAACTTTTTTTTCTTTTTTCGGTGTTTATTTATTGACCAGATGATGTCATCACACACGGCTGTGTCTGTGACATAAAAGGAAAAGCGAGCGCGCTCTAGGTGATGCTGGTGACATAACCCATCAATCTGTGAACGCCTGAAGCATCACACACACTCACATATATACTCAGAAGTGACAGCTGGCTAATATAGACCTCCCTCTGTCAAGTAATTACACTCACACACACACACACCCACCCATCCACCCACCCACACACACACACACACGAACCTAATACCATCTACTATAGTTGTCAGATTGTTTCGATGTTAGTAAAAATGTCTATTTATCGGCACCTTTCAGGACCTTCAGCGTCACTTCATAATAAGATCGTAAAATTAAACAGACAATAGGAATTCAGAAGACAATGAAAAACAATTCAAATCAAGAGAGAGATCAGGTGGAGTTAAGTTATGCCAGAGAGGTCGGGGGCGCTCCAGTTGAAGTGCAATGAGTGGGGCGGGTGGTAAGGTGAGATGGATGGAGGAAGATGACCTGAGGGTGGGGGAGGGTATGTTTATGTGAAAGAGAAGGGGGAGGCAAGGAGGGGCTGGGTTGGTAATGGCCTTTATATGTGAGGCGATGTGATCTGTAATCATGTGATGAGCTCAGAGGAAGGAGATCGACTTGAAAGTCTTAACCAGTCGTAGTTTGTGTATTAACTTTGGTACAATAATCCAGGCAGGAAGTGACTAGATAACTTGTCATAGTTAGAGCAATAACAGCATGTGAATGTGTGCGTTTTCCACCAGCAGTCCCTAACCTTTTTTGTACCAAGGACCATTACTGCGGACCAGACGTAGCGCGCCGATTGTTGGAGGATCGCTAATTTTTCAAAATAAAACGTCAATTTTGTAAAACATTGAACTTTTTATTTTGTTAGTACTGGAGTCTGGATGATTGGATGATATTATTTTTGAAATATTGCCGGATTATCTTTGAATGAGGAAAGTAAACGGATATGAATGGATTCTCTTTGAATACCGGTCCGATACCGGTCGCCGCACCGGGGATTGAGGATCCCTGTTTTACACCAAATCATACAAATATTTATACAAAAAATTGTCAAGAAAAATATGCAAAACTATTTTGAAAATACTTCACAGAGTTGGTTGTTTTTAGTCGCGTCAAGAGTTGCTTTCAATTTTTGAATTTTCATTTTAAGCCTGTTCTGCTTTGGTGAAACTGTACATGCAAACACACAGAGGCTGATTTACAAAGTAAATGAGCCAGAAGAGACTTGTGTGCGTGTGTGTTGTGTAAGCGAGGTCGGAGAAAATAAATGATGTCTGTATCCCAGCATGCCTGGCGACAGAGAACCAGCTCCGTCTGGTTTACAGCTGCTTAAAAACAGTCGTTTTTCATATCAACTTCCTCTAATCTGCATATTCATGACACCCCCCGCTGTGACCCTACATTTTGAGGGAGGGGGGCAGGAGAGCCACGGCTCATTACTGAATTAGCTGCTCATCTCCTGACGTATGGCCACAGTTCTGGTCTTCACGTATCGGTTGTGTGAAGCAGCCCTAGATTCACTGTGATCGTTGCAGCCTCACTGACTTTTATCTTCTCCCCGTTTTAATGGAAATTATCAGTACATTTAAAACACAATAAAGAGACAGAGCTTTAATTTAAAACCCTGAGCGAGTCTGTCTGTCACGGCACCGTTCAACTGATGTTTTAAGGCCATTTTGACTAACAGTTATTTATTTGGTTGTGAGATATATTTTCAAATCCAGGATATTTGTGAGATTTGTTTTTGTAGGGATATCGGAAAATATCACCTGACTGATATTATTGTCTGATATTAATACAGTTATGCAACATGTGTAAGAATCGCAATCGAACTTTTTCTCCAATAATGAAAACCCGATAACACAATACCCAAGTTTTGCCAAATGATGCGACCTAAAAATAGCTTTAAGGGAAAACAGCTGTATATGAAAGTGAAAGTAAATTATAAAATGTGTCCTATGCCTTTAACCCATCACCTTAGTGAGCAGGCGGCAGTTAACTTTCTTAACCACCAGGGCACCACTGCCTCAATGTATCGATATCAGTTAATATCGGAATCAGAAATTAAGTGTTTGGACAATTCTGACAAATCGGCAAAAAGTTAATAACGGACAACCTGCGTTTTTTTAAGCAATTTTTGGCCAATGTTTAATAATTCATTATAAATATATATATACTTATATATATATTTATATATATATACATACATACATATATGTATATACAGTATATACATACATACATATGTATGTATATATTTATACATATATAATTATATATATATGTAGGTGCGTATGTGTTTGTTTTGTGTGTGATTAGTACAACAAAAGTAAAAGATTTTTAACCTACGCTTGTGTCGCTAACTAGATCATTTCAGCTAACATTGAGTCGAATTAATCTTTGCCTAGATCATAACTATGGTTTCGCGGTTTCGTTTTTTAAAATTTTTTTTTTTAGCTAACTGGTATTAGTTAGAAAAGTTGAGGACA